CAGCTCTCTCCTCTGGCTGGGTTGTTCACACTCCTGGAAAAGTCTCTTGTATCCTGGGGGAATCTCCTCCTGCTGAGACACAGCTCTGGGCAGTGATGATGAGGGAGAAAATGAAATGCCCAAAGGGGAAAAGAAACACTTCCAAACAGCCCAAGTTCAGGTGTGCACGGCTCAGGCTGAGGGTTGGGATGAGACCCAGGTTTCTGCTTGCCTTAACTCAAGCAGATTTTTCTTTTTCTGAGCCAAGCACTTGCTTTATACAAATTATTCCATTTACCAGCGAGCAGCTGCGACCTTTTCTGGTGATGCCACCACGTTTGAGACCAGGGCTCTGCATCCAGGCAATGTGGGCCCCCAGCCTAATTCCAGGGAATGTGCCTGTGCTCGGGAGGGGAGCTCAGGCTGTGACTCCACACAGGATCCTGTTTAAATGTCAGAAGCACAAGTTAAAATCAATAAATAGAGAGGACTGGCTGTGCTTGGGCGAGGGGGTGTCGAGCTGCCTTGTGCTCGACTTCAAAGCTGAGATTTGTTCCCTGGGTTTTGTAGAACCAACTTCCTTCCTGCCCAGCGGGGGAGGAACTGGGGAGGCTGGAGGGCCTTTCAGTGCTGCCGCAGGGGGCTGTCCCTGCTGGGTGGGAGGGCTGCCTGCTGCTCCCCCGGGGCCACTTCACCAGGAGGGATCAGCACGGGGGGTTCAGCACTTGAAATGGAGCAAAAAATCCACCCCCACCAGCACGTGGTGGCTGCAATGTTCTGTCAGTGCCGAGGGATCTGGACACACCTGGGACCCTCCTGGTCCTCAGAGCTGCATCTCCGCCCTGGCTGCAGTGTCACAGTGCTCCAGTGCTCCTCTGGAGTGCCTCACTCCGAGCCTGGCTTTGGAAGTCTCATGTTGGTGGCAGCAGGTGGCAGGGACACAGCAGGGAGGGGTGGCTGCCCAGCACTCACTGCCAAAAGACTCCAGGTTTTGTGTTTTTTCGAAGGATCTTTCTCATTTTTCCCCCACCCAAACCCATAGAAAATCTTCCTTACTTCCATGCCACATCACTAAATTAAGTTATTGTTAATTATTAATTATCACAATCATCTACCCTAATATTTTGCCTCTTACCCTGCACGCTCCCAGTGTTCCCTATGGCTTGATGGATGGCAGTGTAGGGAAACACTGTCGGCTCCTGATGAAGCAGCAGCCAGAGCAGCACATACAGCCTGGGAGAAGGAGCAAAACACGGTGCAAAAGCCCTTTATTTTGTTAAAAAAGCACTTTTCCCAGAAGCCTTGTTCTCCAGAGCCAGGGTGACATATGGTGACACGGTGTGTGCCAGCAAAGGTGCTTCAGAACGTGTTCCTCTGGCTCAGGAAAGCAGCAGAGCTCAAGGATTGGAGCAAAATCATCCATGTGGGAATGATATCACTGGTGGAAGGAGGAAAAAAATCCTCCCCCTGCTTTGTCCTGAGTGTTTGTTAGGTGGGAGCCAGGAGGAGAAGTCAGAGTGAGCCTTCAAATCTCCCAGGTCTTCCCCTTCCCTCCTGGCACAGCTGTGGGTTCTGTCCCCGTGCAGGTCCCCCTAAATGGGGAAAGTTCACATCAGCTGCATGTCTAAAGGCAACAGGGCAGTGAGACACAGTGTCCCCACTGTCCCCAGGCAGGACATCCCAGGGAGAGTTCATTTTGGGGCAGGAAGCTGTTCCCTGGTGCTGGAAAAGCCAACGATCCACCCGCAGCTCTCTCCAAGAGGTAACTCAGGATTGCAGCGGTGCTGCTGCACATGGGATGGCAGAGGCCACTCCTGCAAGCCAGGCCCTCAAAGGAGCCCATTCCACCCACCTGGAGAGAGGCTTTTCACGCTAATCAGCTGGTTTTCAACAGAGATGAAGGATTTTCTCAGCCAGGCTCCTGCCTGCCATCCTCCAGCTCCACCGCCTGGCTTTGGCATCAGCACCTCAAACACCCAAACCCAGCGTGGAGCCCCAGTGCTCCCCACCAGGCTGGGATGCTGGGGCCCAGCAGCAGGAGAAGTCCTCTCTTTCCAGTGGCAGCAGTGAGAAAACGGCCTCCTTTCCACCAGGAATTATGCAAAGCCCTGGAATGTAGGACTCTCCGCGCTCCCAGCGGCGCGCGGCCCCCGACGGCCCCGATTTGGGGAGGCTGGCGGGCGCAGTGCGCTTGTTTGCCACCCTGATTAGTCAGCACTGCTAATTATAGCTGTGCTTTTCCTTCTTAGAGCTCTTCAAGCACCGTTGGAGTAACAGGGAACAACGGAGGCGCTGGAATAAGGCTGGATCCGCTCACTGCAGAAAAGATGCCGGGATAAATACGGGGGTGAAGGTTCCGGCAGCACGGCTTTGAGCCCCTCCGGGGGGGTCTCAGGGCAATGAGCTCAGCATCTGTCACACAGGAGTGGGAGCTTGGGTGGAAAACGCTCATGTGACGTTGGGAGGTGACGGCATTTCCCCAAGGGAAAGATTTAAAGGCGATTTTAGTACTTTTAGAGGTAAAAATGATGGAGAATTGGTGAGCTCTGCACCACCCATTGAACAGCAGCCCTCGTGCAAGCTTTGGTTCCCAGCGGGCTCTGCCTGGGACAGCCATGTCATTACTGATTGCCACCCTGTTTTTAACTTGCCACCCCCTTGTTTTAACCAAAAAAGCACAATTTCCAAGGCAGGATGAGAGGCAGGTCAAGCCCTGCCGTGGGCTGGCAGCACCCACATCCTTGCGGGGCAGTGCCGAAGGAAGACCCTTGTTCATCCCAAAGGAAGATCCGTGTTCGTCACTGAGCTTTTCCCAAGGGCCAAAAGTCAAGGAGGGAGATGAGGAATGAAGATAGAAGATGACAAGGGAAAACCTTCTCCGTGCTGAACGGCCCTCCCAGGTGAGGCTGGTGGCCCCTTGCTCTGTAATTGCAGTGTCAGGCTCAGGCTGCTGTCTTTGATTAGCTTTGATTTTTACTCCTCACTACTGAGTCTGTAATTTGAATACCGATAAAGCATCTGTTGTCAGAATGGTGTTGCAGGTACCCAGGGAGCTCAGAACATTATATGCAACCTTAAAAAGTAGAGTCTCAAACGTTGAAAATACAGTGTACGGTGGCTCATCCTCACACACGCAATGGGGCAGCTCTGGGGACAGCGTCATTTTTGTCACCAGGAAACCTCAGCACAGGAGGAGGAAGAGCTTCTGCCAGCACTTCCCACATGCTCCTTTGTGCTTGGGGGGAGCACAGCCAAATGGGGAACCCCCCCGAACCTCCTCAGAGACATGGAGCTGCTACCTCCTGGAGGACAAGCAGCCCCCACCACTGGGATGAGCGCTTGGAAAGGGGGCACTTCTGGAGCACAGTAGGGAAAATGCCTGCTGGAGATGCAGGAAAAATATCCTGGGATTGTGCCAAACTTGTGGTGGGGTGCCAGGGGGAGGAACTGAAGGTGGGGAAGGGACTTGTGGGGTCACCAGGGCCTCAAAAGAGACTGGAAAGGGGTGGGATACTGGAGGGAGCAGGAGCTCCAAGGCAATTCCAGTGAGCCCGTGGGATTTGGGGTCAGCTGAGACCCCCTGGGGTGTGCGTCTGTGCAAGAGGCACAGACAGATGAGAGGATCCAAGGGCCAGACTGGGGCAGCTGGGCGTCGGAGGGCAGTCACTGGAGGGATGCACCGTGTGCCTGCAGTGCCCGCCCTGCTCAGCCTTGGTGCCGGCGGGGCCCGGGGCTCGGCAGCCCCCGCTCTGTCAGGTAGGGCACGTGGCAGCCACTGGCAGGGGCAGCGGGGTCATCGCTGCTCAGCCCGGCGGCTGCTCGTGGCCCACCAGCTGAGACCACCCGCACTCCTCTCAGCCTGGGTTCCCCGGGTGGGCTCGGACCCCACGGGCGGCACATCCCCTCTTGCCGCAGCGGCTCCATCCAGCCCGTCTCCCGCCCCCACCTCCCGGCGGGTGCCGCTGCCGATGGGAGCCAGGCAGAGCTCCTCACCCGCCTCCCCTTCCACGGGCGGTGCGTAATTGCCGGGAGCGGGAGCGAATTCATTCAGCTCCTCGCCCGGGTTTCCTCCGCCCCTCCCGGAGCTGCTCCCGCCGCTCGCACGCACCGCTCGGTCACGCGCCCGGCAGCCCCAGGTGGATGACGATTCAAGTCCCCTGGGATGGGGCTTGGCCCGATTAAGAACCCAGATGCTCCAAACTGGGGCGGTTGGGTTCAGCCAAACCCGCCGATATTCACCTAAATATCTTTGATCGTCGGGAGCTGGAAATCCTTCCCGGCGCTGAGCTCGCTGCGCCGCACAGCTCCAGCCTGGAACAGAGAGGGGGATGAAAGAGTGGAGCGGGAGTGTTACGAAACCAATAGGAAAGGAGGGAGAAGGTGTAGCTGAAATCCCGTGGATCCAGGAGCTGTGCATCCCTGCTTTGATGATTCTGCTCCCGAGCTGAATCACGGAGCCATTCGCGGCTGGAAAAAGAATCGTGCCTTTGGGATTTGTTCCCTTCCAGGCTGATCCTTTCCCAAATAGTGGGGAAGGAAGCTTTGGGAATGGGTGGATGGATGCTGCGGTGAGGGACAGACCCCCAGCCCCCCGTCCTTGGGCAGGTGTCCCCTCACAGGGGGGCAGTCCACAGGAAGCTCCCACGTGTGGATCCTCCTCATCCCAGCTTTCCAGTGGCTGGAGGGAAGCCTCTGTGGGGCGAAGGCTTTGGGGTGTGATGTCTCCCCAGAGGAGGGATGCAGCTGCCCAGCCTGGTTGCAGAGGACCCCCCGAGCCCCTCCAGCTGCCGCCTCCTGGGGTACAGAGGGGCTGGCGGTGCCGTCCCTGGACATCGTCCTTGAAGAGCGGGGCACCGGAGCCGCGCCACGCCGGTCCCCCCTCCCTTCCCATCCCCGCGTCCCTCGGCACAGGCGGTAAAAATAAACCCTGCGAGGCGCCGGGGCCTGGCTCCAGCCCAAAGCTGCATCCGCAGGACGCAGGTGCAGCGGGCCCCGACCTTGGGGAGGTGCGTCGGGGTGGCGGGAGAGCTCATGAATGAACGATCGGCGGGGCGGGTGCGCGCACCCCCCTCGTGCCTGCGGGTGTGGATGGGGATGTGGAGCAGGGAGCCAGCCTCGTTGTTATTCTGATCACAGCGGCTCTGATTCACAGACTTGGATCATGAATATAAGTGAAGACTTTGACGTCAGAGTTGAGATTTATCAGCAGATCCAATGGGGCAGGAATATTAAGTGCAAGTCGATGCCAGCTCTCTGCCAACGCTATTAGCGATGCTCACCGAGGAATGAGGCTTCGCACCAAGGGCTGGAAGGACTGGGAAGGAAAAAAATAAAAACGTGGGGGGAGCAAGCTGATCCTCGGGCATTAAAACCAGGTAAAACAACAACCCCCGGCGTGGCGGCTGCATGCGGCAAGGGGGGATGCTGGCTGCGGGCAGAGCCCCCCCGACCTTCACACCTCGGCTGCCCACCCTGGGCGGGGGGATTTACTCTGCCGAGCAGGGCAGGATGTTGCAGCCGGCTGGGAGCATCTTGCACCAGCCTTTTCCAAAGGAGGGGAAGGGAGGGAGGAAGGAGAAAGTTAACGCAGGCTGTCCCTTGCCGCTGCCTTCTCCTTCCATCGGCGGCTCCGCATACAGGAGCTGGCCTATTAATAGTGTTTATTTTTACTCACTGCACGCAAAAAAGAAAGGGCTGCGGGGAGGGGGCTGGGGGGGCTGCGCTATAAATAGGTAGCAAAGGTGGCCGTGCCCCGGGAGGGGGAGGAGGAGGGGGCGGCCAGTTCTTCACCGGGTGCGCAGCGGCTGCGGACCCTGCGTGGAGCGGAGCGCACGGAGGCGGTTGCGGGCAGCGGGGTGATGAGTTGTGCTCGGCCTCAGCCCGGCGGCAGGAGCGGGAGATAGCGAGAGAGAGCGGCCAGGAGTGCGTGTGGGGCGGGGGAACGGCGAACCCTGGGTCAGGGATGTCTGCGGGAGGCTGGATCCCAGGGAAGCTGCAGTGGGGCCGGGGGCGGGCGGGGATGCGGCGGGCGGGGGCGACCGGTGCGGGGCGCGGGTGGGGTGTCCCTGAGCCGGGCTCCCGGAGCGCGGTGTGGGGCGCGGGGTGGGGTCTCCGTGACGCGGGGCGGGCTCAGTGAGGGGCTCCTCGGGTTCGGTGCTGAGATCCCCGGCTCAGTGCGCCGGGCTCGGTGCGGGGCTCGCGGTCTGTCCCCGGTGCCGGTGTCGGTGCCTCCCCTGACCCCCGCTCTCGCTCTCTCCCCAGCGATGCTGCACGGCCCCGCCGCCATGGGGGAGCCGTGGCCGCCGCAGCCGCAGCAGCAGCGGCTCCCGGGCCCCGGGAACGCCTCGGAGCCCCCCGCCTGGCCCTCGGCGGCGGACGGGCCGGGCACGGCGGCGCCGGGCGGCGGCGGGGCCGGGGGGGCCGTGAGCCCCTGGGACATCGCGCTGTGCGCCACGGGCACGGCGGTGGCGGGCGAGAACGCGCTGGTGCTCGCCGTGCTGTTCTACACGCCGAGCCTGCGGGCGCCCATGTTCCTGCTGATCGGCAGCCTGGCGCTGGCCGACCTGCTGGCCGGGCTGGGGCTGGTGGCCAACTTCGCCGTGCGGTACCTGCTGCGGCCGCCCAGCGAGGCGGCGGAGCTGGCGGCCGCGGGGCTGCTGCTCGCCGCCTTCTCCGCCTCCGTCTGCAGCCTGCTGGCCATCACCGTGGACCGCTACCTGTCGCTGTACAACGCGCTCACCTACCACAGCGAGCGCACGCTGGGCTTCACCTGCGCCATGGTGCTGCTAATGTGGCTGCTGTGCCTGGGCGTGGGGCTGCTGCCCCTCCTGGGCTGGAACTGCCTGCGGGACCAGAGCGCCTGCAGCATCCTGCGGCCCGTCACCAAGGACAACGCGGCCGTGCTGGCCGTCACCTTCCTCCTCCTCTTCGCCCTCATGATGCAGCTCTACCTGCAGATCTGCAAGATCGCCTTCCGGCACGCCCAGCAGATCGCCGTGCAGCACCAGTTCATCGCCACGGCGCAGGCCACCTCCACCCGCAAAGGGCTCTCCACGCTCTCGCTCATCCTCGGCACCTTCGCCCTGTGCTGGATCCCCTTCGCCATCTACTCCCTGGTGGCCGATTCCAGCTACCCCGCGGTCTACACCTACTCCCTGGCGCTGCCCGCCACCTGCAACTCCCTCATCAACCCCATCATCTACGCCTTCAGAAACCCAGACATCCAGAAGTCGCTCTGGCTGGCCTGCTGCGGGTGCATCCCCTCCACGTTCTCCTCCAGACCAAGGACATCCAGCGATGTGTGAGGACTGAGCACGGAGCCAGAGGTGCTCCCTTGCTCTCCTCCTCCGTCTCTTTTTCCCCCTCTGTCGTTATTGTTTCCTACCGGGAGGAACCTCCCCGGTCAGCACATCTCGTTCCATGGAAAGATGGCCAAAAAGGGAAAAAAAAAAAAAAAAAGAAAAAGGGAAAACGAAGGGGGAAAGAAAGAGAGAGCGTAGAATGATAATGGTTTCCTTTAGAAATGTTATTTTCTTACACATTTTATTTTTTATTTAAAAACACAAAACACCAAAAAAAAAAAAAGAAAAGAAAAGAAAGAAAGAAAAGAAAAGAAAAAGGATCCTCGTACGATGGCGTTTGTCTGCTCTCGGGGTAAGGAGCCAGGGGAGCAGCGGGCCCCGTCGGGGTGGTCCCACGCCTCGGGGCACATCCCGCGGGAAGGCCACAGGAGCGGCGGGGGCAGGTGTCCTGTACCCCCCCGGCGGGGCTGGTCCCCACGCGTGGGGTTGTTGTGCGGGGCGCCCACCCCCCTGAAATCAGGTCTTGCGATGCTATGCAATAACGGGGGGGGCGTTCAGCACCGCGGGGGGGACAGCGCCGGCCGGGGGCGGGCCGAGGGACCCGCGGGGGACGCGGGGCTTTCTGTGTCTGTGTCTGCTTGCGAAGCGCTTCGAGAACCTGCGGGGCAAGAGGCTCGTTAGGTTTGGGTCGTTTGGGCAGTCGCAGGGAAGGGGGTACCCAGGGATCCATTCCGTCCTTGCCCCCCCACAAGGGTGACTCTGGGGCAGGGCTGATGGTGTGTGGGTGGGGAGGGCAGTTTGGGGTGCACCCCAAAGTCTGGGAGGCCACGGAAGGGCTCTCCTGTCCGACTGGGGCTGTGGGGTGATGATCTCCCCCCTCTGCACTCCCTTCCACACCGGTCGTTTACATGGGGTGGGATTTTGATCCAAAGAGGGGTCCGGGCTTGCTGGGTCCCCCAGAGGGAAGCCTTGTAATCACACACGTTACTGCTGATGCTGCCAGTTTAACTCGCTTCGTTAGAGAAGCAACGGGCCCCTCCCCTTCCCCTACTGTGTGATGTGTTCGTGGTGTTAGTGAGGCAGATGAAGTGCCCTTTCCCTCTCTTTTGGCCAGGCAGTGGAAGTGCATTCACTCACAGAGCAGGGAGCCGAGCAAACCCCTGGGATGGCAGGGCTCGGGTGGAGCAGCCAGGGTGGCTCAGGGCACAGGCAGGGGGTGCTGCTCCAGGGCCTGGCACGGGAACAGCTCTGGAGAACCCTCCCCAGCTGAGCCTGGAGTGCCAGACATTCTGCTTTCCTTTGGACAAACTGCTGTGATGTTGGAGAGGGACTTTGGACAAGGGCCTGGAGTGACAGGACACAGGGAGTGGCTTCCCACTGCCAGGGGACAGGGACAGGTGGGAGACTGGGGGGAGTTCCTCCCTGGGAGGGTGGGCAGGCCCTGGCACAGGTTGCCCAGAGAAGCTGTGGCTGCCCCATCCCTGGAAGTGTCCAAGGCCAGGTTGGATGGGGCTTGGAGCAACCTGGGCTGGTGGAAGAAATGTCCTTGCTTTGTGTGTGCAAAGGCACTTTATGGGTACAGACAGACCCAAGGGTATTTCCTCCCTGGATCTGTGCAATGACTCTCCTGCTCCTTGGAGCTTAGTGCACATGAGCAAGCTGTGAATCTCCAAAGTGTGCCTGGAGCTTGGACTTACTGTCTGCCTTCGAAAGGTGGCCACACTCTCACATTTTTGGTTTTGTGGGTTTGGTTTTTTAATTTCCTTTCTTTTTTTGAATACCCTGGGCAATGGGCAGTAGGCACAATATTGAATCAATGTAAGCTTTAAAGTAAATATATTTGTTTAACAAAGAGTAATATTTATAAAATCACTTTGCTATTTTTATTTCTTCCGGTTTCATAAGGGCAGCCAGGTCCCTGCAGATCCTCAGTGTGAAAAATTCAATAGCTTAAACCATTTTCCAAGCATTGTGAGCATTTTGAAATGATTTTATACAACCACCCTATCTAGAAGACAAGATTTGTTTCTCTGGGCAACTCATTTTGTATCTGTAGGTGAAATGCAGTTTAATCAGCCCTTGAGAAACTTTGACATGAAAAAAAGTTGCATTCTCTTGGCTTTCCAGTAATCCCCTTCTTGCTGAAGAGCTTGATTTTAACAATGTGGGGTTTTTTTTTAGTTGTATACTTGAAACTTGTCTCAGTTTGAGGGATCTGTTGATAAACTTTGCCAAAGTCAAACAAGAATCAGTGGAAAAGAATTCCCCCCCACACCTCCCCATGGCTCTCCACAGCAATAGGTGAAGGATTTGGGATGTGAGAGCTCAAGCTCACAGGTCCTGCCAGACAGCTGAGGTCGAGAGCAGGTGGGGATGTGCTCACTGAGACACTTGGTACCCACCCAAACCCCTCTGCAGCAACTTTGGCAAACTCAGCTGCCTGAATTCTGGTCCTTGCATGAAGGAGACACTGCCTGTGCTGCTCTGACCCAGCCCACAGCCAGGACCCAGCTGGGGCACAAGAATATTCCATGCTCAGAGTTGGTAGAAAATCACAATCTAATTTTTTCTCAAGTGCTGGTCTGGCATCTCTCTCTTTGAGATGTCTGTGGAAGTTACAAACACTTGTTAGGTTTCAGGAAAAGTCTCAAGAATTCTCCTCTAAAAACTGTTTTGTTAAATTGGCATTTCTTCAGTCTTTCTCCTAAGTAAAAATAAATGTATTTTCTGGGTCGGTTTTTTTTTTTCCTTTGCTGGTTTTTCTCTCCTTTCTCTTTAATCAGTGGAAAGGAGAAAAAACAAGGAGGAGTGAGGCAGAAGATAAAGTTTAGATTCACCTGCCATGCAGTGTGTTGTGGAAATCTCTGACCATTTTACTGCACCTTTGCATTGGTGCTTATTGGTGCTTTTTTTTTTTTGGCTTGGTTTTGTTGGTTTTGGTTTTCATTAAGAAAATCTTCTACTGGAAAAGTTTTGAGTGACAGTGTTGGACATCAGTGAGGATGCTGGATGTTGGATCCTCCTTGTAGTGGACATGAGGAGGCCTAAAACCTTAAATTCCTTAGGAAGTGAGTGGTGCTGCATGCAGGGTGGGAATGCCCTGTGTTTGGGATCCTTCAGTGCTGGCTTTGGGACACGTTTGGGATGGAATACTGGGCCTGGCTTTGGATGGGTTGCCATAAAAAGGGAGCAGCTTCCATCAGTGCCAACGATAAGGAAACACTGGAAAACAAAATGTTTTTTCCAGCAGGTTTTCAGTCCAGTGAATCCTCTGTGGATTCCCTGCAGATCCAAACCATATTCCAACATGGTGAAAAGAGCCAAGCAGCCCCTGTCCACCTCCTGTGCTCCGTGGGGACACAGAGCAACTGGAGTGTCCCACTGCTCTCCACTCCCTGGCATTGGCTGTGTTGGGAGGGTGGGGCTGGATTCCCTTTTCAATGGAGAAGTTGAGATCTGTGAAAGCCATTGAGTGAATGATGATGCAGGGGGACAGTGGCAGTTCTGCAAAGCACGAGGGCTTTGCTGGTTGGAAATGTGCAGGTGTCCTTTGATGTTCACAGAGCCTCCATGGCCCCTCCAGCTGGAAGCTGGACCTGCCTGGAGAGGGCTGCTCGATGGGAGACCTCTGTGTCCTCACCCTGGCCCAGACTTTGACATTGTACTGTCAAATATTGTCCTTTGCAAACTGCTTTTGATAAAAGATGAAGGACCAGAGCTTGGCTGGACTCTACAGGAGCTGGTGTAGATCCACAGCAGCAGAAATAGGCAGAAACCTGGTCCTGAGGTGTGAGGAAAATTGATACCTGAGGTATCCAACCAGCCCCGAGCCTATGGCAGAGATCAGTATGGCCAGGAAATGAATCCACTACTTATTTGGGTGATCTATTTACAGGTTTCTGTGTGCCTTTGGCTTCTCCACCGTGAGTTGGTGGGCAGCAGAATGCAGGTGTGAAGTGCTTTTGCCATTGGTGGTTGGCTGTTGAGGGGGTGAGGGAAGGGTGAAGGAGAAAACATTCCTGGAATACACAGTGGCAAGGGCAGGGCCACCCTTGGGTGGGACAAAACCCCAGCTCCGTGAATGCCCTGAGGTTTGTGGAGATGTGCCAGGGGTGGGTGTGAGCTTGTGCATTTGCACCAAGCCCTTGTTGTAACAGCATGTCTCAACTGAGAAATAAAATAAAAAAACCCCAGAACCAAACAAAACCACAACCCCCCCAGTAGAATGTACAGACTCTACCAACAAAGCTGCATAGTTTTATTTGGGGTTTGTTTTCCATTTTGGTCAGTTTGGGACTTTGGGCAGTGGAAATGTCTCTCTTTAACCAACTTCATATCAGTAACCAGCAGGAAATGTCTCAAGGGTCTCACTCCTGATGTGGCAGCCACAACTGGTTCATGTCAAAGAGTTTTAACTGAACTTTGAATGAAACCCTAGAAACCATTACTGTTCTCAGTGGGTGATGAAGTACCTCTTTCTTGTAGAAGCATCAAATTTGGGGTGGGGAGGTCTTTAAAAAGCCATTGCTCCTGGGAATCACTTGTGTTGGTGTGTTTTGACCAGCATTGAGGACTCACGTCATTGTTACCGGTGAATTGGAGTTCACTTCAATTGTCAGGAATAACTGTTGACTGCACATGGTATTTCCTTGTAACTCCTCTTGTTCATGCAGCCTTTCCTCCTGCCGAGGTGAGGCAGCTTCACCTGAACCATTTGTACCTCTCCTGTTCCCAGTGCAGTTCCTGCTGCAGGATCCCCTCAAAGCCGCCCTTCCCACTGTCCCCACAGCTCTGGGAATGGAGCCCTCCCATTCCCACTGGAAATGTCTGCAATACAGAGCATTATAGATACAAAGTGGGGTTTTTCAGTAGAGAAGACCCAAATCAGAACAGTTGGGCCAAGGCTCTTCTGTCCCTGACTTTGAGGGATGTGAATAAATTGTCTCCAACTCCAGGGGTCATAGTTGCCTTCCCAAATCCTGCTTGATGTCAAACCCCCCGGGTTACCCCTCCCAGCTGGAGGAGGCTGCAGTGGGCAGGGAGCTGGATGTCTGACAGCACGTTGTGTCACTGGGCACTGAAGCCACAGGCACAGGTTCATGGCCTCACTGCGGGATCTGGGAGCTGGAAAACAGCAGGCTCATCCCAGGGAAGGCTCTTTTCCAGCTGGGCAGTACCTGGTTGAGGGTGAGGCAGTGCTGGCTGCTTGTCCTTCTAGCCAGGCCTCTTGGCTCTGCCTGGCCTTTCTGCATCACACAGTGAGAGGACTGGGCTCGTTGCTGATGTCCCTCGTGAGCAGGGCAAAATACATCAGCCCCCAGGACACAGAGCATCCTCCCTGCAAAGGGAACCCTCCAGCTGGGAGGGAGGGGTGAGTTCCTGGTGGCAAAGCCCAGCAGGAGACTCATCCAGAGCCCAGTCCTGCTCTTCAGTCACCCCTGGGGCTCTGGGCCCCGGGTCAGGCTGGCCAGGCTCGTGTCCGTCAGAGTGGCTGTCACAGCACAGACGGACAGAACGGGAACCCATCACCCCCAGTCCCTGCCTCCCATCCCAGCTGATCCCCCAGGAACCAGGTCATTCCACAGCAATTAGGACAGCGACCTGTCAGTGTTGCTGTCAGTGTTTTCATGAGCCTTTTAACTTGACTGGGAAAGTTGATCTCAAAGGAAAATGTACAGTTATCATTCAACTATGGTTAAATCAAGTCCCGTTGATGCACTTTATGAACGAGTGAAAAACAAATCAATGCTGTTATTGCACTGTATCTCTATTGTGTATAATATTATACATTCATCTGTAAGAGTAATTTATTTTTATTACTGTAAATAAAACTGTTAAAGTGATTTGTCAGAGGATATCCAAAAACAGGGGGAAGGGGGTTAAAATTAAAACACTGGAAGACCTGGGCTGCTGTCCCAGGTATGTGCCATCCTGTGTGTGTGCCAGTGCTTTTATTTCAGCTGAGGCAAGTCTGGAACAGGGCTCTGCTTTCCATCACCTGGGACTGGGATCAGGATGAGCTGGATGAGAAAAGGAACCACTCTAGACACTGAGGGGTTGAGAAGGAGCAGCTCCTGCTGCTCAGAGCCTCCAAGCACAAGGATGGAGGCTTTTCCACCAGCAAGCCATTCTCTGCCCTCTGATTAGGGAGTCAGGGATTAAACAGCCATGGGAATTAGTTGATCTTTGAGGGTTTGATTCTCCAAATGAAGGGTTATAAAGAGATCACAGCTTTCTGCTGCTTCTTCTGTGCCACAGACTCTGATAGAGGAGGGAATGTCACAGAGTAGATAACTCACAGCCAAAGGACCCAGTGAGGGCAAGATGACAAAAAGCCAAACCCAAATCTACTGTAACCTCTTAAAATCTTTATTAATTTCTTTTTTTCCTTCTTATTCTTTTTAAATTTCATTAGCACATGCATAAAGTGTCAACAGTTTGGGATTAAGATGACATTTCTTGAACAAATGTAGTTACAAGCGGTGCCTGGGGTCGTTCCAGGTTCCTCTCTACACTGTACAGAAGGAAGCTGCAGGAGTCCCTCCCTTTCCTCACTGTGTCACCACAGGCAGAACCCACAACACTGGGGAGAAATACACTTGTTCACACGTAGCAACTGGGTAGGGTAGATAGATACAGGCAGCAACATCTACTCACCTATTGACTAAGTGCACATGGTTAAAGACCCCATCAGACAGTGAACATCTCCTTCTTTAATCTCAGCTATGGAATTAAGGAAATCAGTCGTGGCCTGCAACAGATGCCTGTCTCCCATCAGCTCCTTCCATCAAATGGCAAATCACAGGAGATAGGGGCAATACTTCCACTGTTATTAAAAAATGGGCCTTTTGAAGGAGAATGGGGGCAGCCCCACGGACGCTGAGGAAGCACCCGGGAAGCCAGTGCAGGCTGGCACCTCCCTGCCCTCACTGTGCCACCCCTGCAGAGCTGGAGCCAACCTCCACAAAGATGGCCCAAGCTCTGGTTCCAGGCTGTTTGTATGATCAGTCAGTGCCAAAAGGGGAGAAAACTGCTTTTAGCACGTCCAGCTCAAGTTGGATGCTCTATCTCAGTAGGATTGTTTGCCCCAGTGCTCCAGGAGGTCTCCCTGGCTCAGAGCTGCTGAGTTTGGGTAGTGCAGAGGAGGTTTGGGGCGCCTGAGGTGTCTTGATCCCCAGCCTGCTGGGTGCAGGGCACAGGAGATGATCCTCACCTGTCTTCTGTGCCCCCCAAAATGACTCTCCTGCAGCACCCGCCCTCACTCCGAAGGGGGTGGAATCCTGGCACTGAGATGGCTCCTGTCCTGCTGCAGCAGCTGGCTCTGGCCCACGGCCCTGGGATGGACAGGAGGAGGAGGAGGAGGAGGAAGGCTCTCCAGCCTGAATGCTTGTCCATGGTAGCAGCAACGCACCTACCCTGCAGCAAACCCACCAGCAGGGGCAAGTCCCACAGCCAAGAGGTGACAGGGTTTGTCCCCTCCCTGCACTCCTCACGTGTCCTGCCCCTGCCATGTGCACCCAGATGTGTGTTTGCCAGAGCAGGTTTCCTTGGGTTGGCCAAAACCAGCTCCCAAACTCCCCCCTGTGCAGGCAGGAGGATTCCCAGAGGATACCTTGGGGTCTGGCCAGGTCCAGGTTTCCACCCCAGGTGAGCTCTGCCCTTTCCCAGCACAGCGAGGCCACCCACCCCAGGCAGCCCGTGGGGACCTCCAGGAAAGGCACTTGTGTCAGTAGGGAGCTGCCACGCTGCTGTGGCCCCACTGCATTCCCAGGGGGAGCTGAGCCCTGGTGGGACAGGGCACATCCCACAGCCAGGGGAGGGAGGTGCCAGCACGGCTCAGCATCAACCCAAACTCGTGCTGGGGACATCCTGCTTTAGATCCCCCCCAAGTCAAGCAGCCCCAAAATTAAGGAAGTCTATTAAGGTGAGGAGCCATCAGCCCCAAAATCTCCTAACAATGCATTTTAAAGGAAAGGGTTTTGTTCAGGGGTTTTTTTTGGGGTGGGGATTTAAGTGGCTTGGACAGGGCCTGGAGCAACCTGATCTAGTGGAAGGTGCCCCTACCCATGGGAGGTGGTGGGACTGGATGGGCTTTAACATCTCTTCCAATCCAAACCCTTCTGGGCTTCTGTGATTTTCTTTCTTTTTCCTGATCTGCTCTTATCTGAGAAGAAAAGAACCACCAAGAGTGGCCCCATTTGATAAAACCTGGCCAGAACTAAAGGTAGACCTGAAACATCTCAGTACAAAATTAATTTTGAAGGGGTTGGGGTGCAGTGAGGGGGCTGTTGATGCTCACAGCAGTCTGATTTTTGAAGACCTGGCAGGACCTGCCAAAGCTGCTCCTGCTGCCACCAGGAAATCACCTCAACAGGAGTCACAGGAACATCACCAGGCTCAAAGGTAAGACTTTTATGGTTGCTTTTTCCGTGGTAAGAAATGACTTTCTGCAGAGTAAGTGTTCCCAGCTGAGGTGTCAGGCAGGGACCAGTACCAGTAAGAGGTGAAAATCAACAGGATTTCAAACACTTGGGCTGGGGAAGGGCCTTCAGGGTCAAAAGCACCTCCTAGGGTGATAGGAGACACCCCCTCCTCCTTGCTGCACTGTGATAAGGTTCTTGCTGCTTTGTCTTAAACACCAGCTCCTCAGGATGTGATTTTTTGGATTTTTTGCCTTGTTCTGTTGGTGATTAGCTGGGAAGTGTTGCTGGCTCTGACCTTCCCTCGAGGTCCAGGGGGAGGGAACAGCACAAATTGTCCTTCTGGAAATCACGTGTAAGTTGTTTGTTTGCCTTTTAGTTTTGTTGGGGGAGGGTTTTGGGGGTTTTATTTTTAGATTTCTCAACTGAGCTAACCCAAATCGAAGGGTAACTTTTAAAATCTCCACCTTAATTTGCCAGCATGGTTTGCCCACTGCAGTCTGTGGGCCACGAAGGGTCCTGAGGAGCTGGAGCTGCTGCCTTCTAACTGTGGAAATGCAGCAGTAGCAGCTGCATGTCCTGGATTTCCACTCAGCTCCTTCCCTCTCAGGTGTTTTATCTTTATTGCACTTAAGGGTCAACACCAAAACCAAGAGAGTGCCCCAGCAGCTACCCTGGCTGACGGGAGATGCTCTGGGGCTGGCACACCCCCAGGAGGGGACGAGGCAGAGCTACAAACACGTTTTGAAGAGATGCCCTGTGGGCACCTCCACCACCCCCTGGCCCAGCACAAGGTGATGGGCAGTGCTCCTCTCTGGCATTTGCCCACCTGCTTCTCAAAGCCCTCCCAAGGCAGAGCCTCTGTGTCAGAGTTTCAGACCTGTTCCACGGTTTCTCCATCCCTTCCCCCAGCTCTGGCTCATCTCCCTTCTGCCACAACTCACTCCTGCTGTTCCGTGCACTTCAGTCCCACACTGACAGGGAGAACACATTTATTTTCCCCGCTGCCCTTCGTGGATTTTCAGAGGGTTTTACCCACCTGAGGTTTTCCCTGTACAGAGCAGTGGGAGCAAAACCAACCTAAAATGCTGGGTTATTTCCCTTCTGGTTGTTTTTCCTCCTCTTTGCACTCTTAACACTTGATACAGAACTAAGGGCTGGAGCTGCCATGGGGCTGAAAGTCCCCCGGGGCCAGCCCAGGGCCCTGGCATTGTCCCCACGGGAGAGGCGTGCAGGGGAAGGCTCAATTCACACACACTGGGGCTCACAACGACCAGCAGGTCACTGCTGAAGTTTTAAACCTGTTCCTGCGAAGAACAAGAGACTACAGAGGTACCTCTGGAAGGCTGAAAGCTGTGGGAAGGTCCCTGTTAGGAGAAGTCCATGGGGGGTGAGGCATCCCTGCTCTGCCATCAGGCAGTGCTGTGGAGGAGCCCATGGCCTCAGGGTCCTGCCAGTCTGTAATCCAGACATTCCTAGGGATAAAGTCACATCAGCACTGCCTCTGGGGACTCTGTGGCCAGGCATGTCCAGCCAGATCCTGCCTGGGGATTTCCCTCCCCAAGAGCCCATCCCTTGCTCTGCCTCAGCCTAGTGACAGCACCAGGATGGTGTCCTCCCTCAGGAACATCCCGGTGTCCTGCCCCCACCCTGCCTGTGGGCACCTTCTGAAGGCTCTGGGGCAAACCTCACTGCAGTTTGTGACTGGGAGTTTGGTTTGGTTTTGGTTGTTTTTTTTTTTTTCATTCTGTTCCCCAGCAAAATCCAAGCTCAAGTTTTACCTGGAGAAAGCAGAGCCTGAGACAACGATCCTAGAAAACCTGGAGTTTGTCCAGGGAAGACCAGATTCACCCTCCTAACCCCTCCCATCCTTTGACTCTCAAACTGATTAAAATATGTCAGTCTAGGTTTGGGTTCCAAGTGTCTGAAGGAGGACGTTTTGCATGAGCTCAGAGGCCACCACGTGAACTGATGGGCAGCCCTGAGTGCTGGCAGGCAGGGGTGCATCCAGGCCTTTCCCATCACATCCATGGCCATCCCAGAGAGCAGAGCTGTGTGGAGACTGGGAAAGGCCCACCCTGAGGGCACAGGGACAAACCCAGCATGGCTTGGCTCAGGCACTTTTGCAGGGGGGTAGTGGAGGGGTGGGAGAGCCCCACTGGGACATCAGCGGGGGGATGTGGTCATGGGGCTGCTCACGGGGTCACCTAAGGAAGGGACAACAGTCCCCGAGGTGCTGCTGCCCAGTGGAGGGTAAACTCGTGGGTGAGTGAGCATTTGAGGCTTCTAAAGTGCAGTGCAGGTTATATGGTCTTTGCTGTAGACTGTAAACTCCTCAGGACAGACTCCTTGCCCTTATCGTTTTGGGGTTTTTTTATCTGTAAAGGGACATTCCAGCTGAGAAAACCTTACCCCTAAATAACTACCACTACAGGAAAACGGGAATCTCGGGGAAAGGAACAGCCTGTGCTCCCCATGCCAGCACCTCATGATGGGGAGTGCTTCCCATGGCCACACATGGTCCATCCACCAGGAAATGGCACTGTGTTCCTGCCATGGACCTCTGGAAGGCACGCTCCAAAACACCACCTCCAGTGCTACAACCTGCCTCCCTCCAAGCAAAACTTCCACCTGTCATTAAAGCCGAGGTGTAAATTCAGGCTCTGACCCCAGGGGAGTCTGCAAAGCTTCTGTTCAGGCTTGTTGGGTGTATTGAAAGGAAAATGGGATGAAAAAGTTGCTGGGAGGAAATCTGAGGGAGCTCTCTGGAGAAGCCAAGTTCAGCCTCGTGTTTGTCCCAGGAGTAAAACCTTCCCCAGACAAAACATCTGCAAAAGCAGGAGCTCTCATGGGATGTGATGTTCACTCCTCTCTAGGTTTCTTCCCAAGGTGCAAAGTTAGAAAGTACCCAATTCATTCTCCCTCAGGACACCTCTACCCAGCACCAAGAGCCAGCTCCTATGGTCCCTCTGACCTGAGGACACACTGAGTGCCAGGCCAGGCATGAACACTGCTGGACTTCCACCAACTTTCAGACACTTCATCAAGAGCAGACTTCACACCTGGTGTAGGTTCACAGACACACCATGGACATGGTGGTCCCCACAGTGCCCTTTTTAGATGAACCAGAGACGTCCGAGAGGTTCCTGATGGAGCTCAAGGACCACAGCCTTCCTTTAATATCTCCAAGCAGAACCAAACTGGCTTATTTACTGTTCCACTGACTGCAGCCCAATCCATCTGTATGCGCTCAGGGTGCTCTTCCCCCCGCTGGCAGTCATATTTATTATTTTTAATCTATGCCCATAAATTGGCAAGTCGGGGAAAGCAGATAAAATGGAAAGAGGAGCTCTCAGGAGATCAGTTGGGCTCATTAAATGTTTGGCACTCCGTGATTATCCGTTGGCAATGAAATGGCACTGCTATATTTTAACATGGAACACGATACCTTAATGTACAGGAGAATCTCCTCAGCCCAATTCTGGTACTCTTGAGAGGGGAGAAATTCAATCATCTGTGACCTGGATTGTATTTTTTAATGTCTGCCAAGCTAGATAAAATATTTAAATATTCACTTTTATATCAGCCCACATGAGGATTTGAGCATTTCAGGTTGTGTAACACGGCATGGCCTACTTTGGGAAGAAGATATAGGAAGAGGCACATATGTACAAAATATGGAGTGTGCAGCACGTGGGTCAGGCAGACACTGCTGATGAGGGGGCACAACCCACTCCTGCAGCGCCAGCCCGGCCCAGCCGAGGAACTGGTGTGGCTTCTGGAGGGTTTCACAGGTCACCTGGGCAGAAAGCAGATGAATGTGCCTAAAATAAAGGTGGCCATGCTCCAGTGTGGACCAAATGTCGGGTGGGGGTGCTGAAGATGGAACGGCTGTGCTGTGAGATCGGGGCTCCCGGTGCCACCACGTGGCATTCACGGTCTGGCTTGATGACCTGAGAGGACTTTTCCAACCTCAGAAATTCCGGGTGCTTGCCTGCCTTGGTGCTGTTTTTTTGGGAGCTGGGAAGAGCATCATTGTGACCAGGCCAGAAATGGGTCCTGCAGCCCACCCTGACTACACAGGTCAGCTCTCCACCAGCCACACCAGAAAGCTGAGCAACTGGGATGAGGAGGGGGGGATCAGCCCCATCCCTGCTACCAGCACAGCTTAAGGCAGTTCAGATCCCTGCAGGAGGAGGATCATGATGTTTTCAAGCAATGGGCAGTGCTGGGGGGTTATGGTCCTGCTGACTTGCTTTGGACCTGAGCAGGTGAATTGTGTTTGTGTTATCAAGGGCTGGAGGTTATAAGGAGAACAGGAATGGTGAGGATGTGCTGGGATGTCCAAAGGGAAGAGGATGGTGTAGGAACATCAAGGTGTGAGGAAGTGTGAGGCTCCCAGCTGCACACCTGCCCTGCAGACACGGCCTGTGCACAGGGCAGGCAAGGCTTGAGGGAACCAGCTGACCTTCCAGGTCCCTTCCAACCCCAGCCATTCCAATTGTCCAGCGCTTTGCCACGGAACAGCATCAACCCTGAGGCTGGCATGGGGTGACCGACAGCTGCCAATCCAAGGGCAGCACAGCTACGAGGTGGTGACAGGGCAGTGGGAGGATACAGGGACAATCCTGACATGCCACAGACCAACAGAGTCCTGCCAGAATGCCCACAGTTCCACGTGACACACACAAAGCAACTGGTGCATGAAAAGAAGGGGCTTGATCTTCCAGGGCACTCGGCTGCTCTCCAGTTCTCACCAGGACTGGCTCAGCTTTGCAGAATTGGGCCCTGAGCCCTTTCCCAGGGCTGGTGTGACTCTGCTCTGCCTGAGCCCCAGTGGGTGCCCCCCACTGACTCTGCAGCCCTTCGACCCCCATATCAGGGAAGAGCAGCTCCACCAGCCCCTGCTGTTCTCTCTCCCTCATAAAGGGTTATTACTTTTTCTAAATTATCCAAATAAATCACTTTCTCTTTGCACACAAACAGGATTACAATTGTGTCTAGGTTAATAACGCTCCACAATAAATACTACCAGGAACCTGATTAAATGTTGCTCTGAATTTTTCCAACACTTCCTTCTGAACCTGTTCCAGGTCAAATCCCAGCTACTTTCCCAAGCAAGGCCCATCACAGGCATCACAAGGGCTCTCTGCCTTGGCCAGGCTTTGGCCAAAAGCTTTTGCATCCAGTTCCCTGTGATTCAGAGGATCTACATCAGAAACAAGAGCTCTTGCTGAGCACCAAGCATCAGGAATTTCCCGACCTCCTGGTGCACAGTGACTCCCTGCCTCCTCCGGTCAGTCCTGCTTCCTTGGGTTTTGTAGATGAGCCATTCCATGCATCCCATTGCACTTCTGCTTCTCGCCTTGCCCTCTCCCACATCCATGCTGCCCCTCTGCTCAAGCCCACTTGGCCCCACAGCTCCCAGCCCAGGTGTGGAGATGTGGGAGGTGTCACTCCCAAGGGACAAGAGACCATTTTGTGCCAGCCAAGAGAAGGGAGCGCTCCTAGGGGCATTTCTCAGCAGCTGGGCAGAGGTTTCACCATGTCTGGCCATGAAAGGTTTCTCACCTGGGAGGAATGAGCAGATGTTTGGGGTGTTGTTCAACACCAGCGTTTCTCAGGGTGAGGAACCAGCAACCTGGTCTGGTGGGAAGTGTCCCTGCCCATGGCACGGGATTAGGATGAGATGAGATGAGATGTAAGGTCCCTTCCAACCCAAACCACTCCAGGATTCTATGAACTTAAGGATGAGCCTTTGGGTCCTAGCCATATCCTCCCATCTCCTTTACAGCTCTGGTTGCTTCTGGAGAGTCAAAATCCTCCTGCTGTAGCCATCACCTACGTGGCTACTGGGAGAGGTAGAGAGGCAGGCACAGAGCCCAGGCTTTCCCCAGAAGAGCTGCAACATGGGGCCTCAGTTTTCCTCCATTCAGGGCCTTGTGGTGTAAGGGAACACAAGAGAGGGCCTGAGGACACCATTCTGGCAAGTCCACAGCTGGTCCTGGCCCATTTTCCACTGATGGGGAACATCTCCCAGCTCTCTGCAGGTTTTTACACCTGACTGTGATATTTTCAGCATTCCCCATCCTTTCTCTCTGCCTTCCTGTGCCTTCTCCCTCCGTGGAGGGAGGAGAAAAGTCTTGGATGAATCACTCCCTATTTTGATGTGAGAATTCAGTGCTGTGGCAGGGGCCTGGCTCTCCAGCTCCCCCATCAGCACCGCCCCGTGGGATAGGGAATAGGGCAGGATCAGGGAGGGGGAACCAGTGCCTGGCTCTGATTTGGTCTCAGTTGTACAGGCACAGCATGTGGGGCTGCAAAGGGTAAGTTAAGCAGATTGTCTAATTAACTTCTCTTTCTTTTTCAAAGAACACTGAAATGGTGTCACATTAAGGCCAAGGAGAGCTGGGTCTGGGGAAGCTCCCTGGACACCTTAATCCTTCACTGGCAAAGACAAGGCCGTGTGTCCCTGCCAGCCACACAAGCCTTCACCCTTTTCTCCCAGAAAACCAGTTCTAAGGACAGAAATGGGCTCAGGTCACCAACACCTTGGTCTTCTCATGCAACCTGGTCTAGTGGAAGGGGTCCCAGTTCATTGCAAGAGATTGGACTCAATGGGCTTTAAAGGTCTCTTCTAAACCCAGCCATTCCGTGGTTCTCTGGGGAGTGACAGCACGATGGGGACCATCCCTACAGAGCTGCTGCCAAACATGGTGCATCACTCTCAGGGGAAGGAGGCTCCTGCTCATGGGCAGGCTTTGGAGCTGCCTGACCCCAGAAACTCCGACAGCAGAGGGTCCCCAAGCCCATGCAGAGCCATTCCCTGAGCTCCCATGGTGGCACCAGCTGTGCAAACAGGCTTCTTCTGCAGGAGCTCGCTACCACAATTACAGTCTAGCTGGAAAAGCACTGCCACCCCTGGAGCTCCCCGCTCTCCCAAAGCACGCTCAGGGCCAGCCTCTGGTCCTGCTCCAGGTGTAAACCACGAGCAATCCTATTAACCTGCCTCCAGAGAATTTGGGAAGTCACTGAAACGCGAAGGTGCTGCTAATGTCTGCTCTCACTGCCTCCGAGGTGTATCCTACCAGTGCTGCTGCTGCTGCTGCCCGCAGGGTTTTGGACAAAGTGTAAAAGCAAAGCTCCTGGACGAGCGGGGCCGCCCGCGCTCGTCGGCATCGACGGTGGGGGAGGCGCCTACACACACCTGGGGCAGAGCTGGGGGCTCCTCCAGCCCAGCCCGGCCCGGCCCAGCCCAGCCCAGCCCCGGGCCCCTCAGTCTGACCACTCGTTCTCATCCAGCTCGGAGTCGTCGTCGGACTCGCTGTACTCCACCGCGATGCGCCGCGACAGGATCGTGGCCACGTCATTGCCCACGGGCTCTTTCTTGGCCTCTTGTTCCCACTGCTCCTGGACTTTCCGGAGTTGGATCCCTGCGGTAGGAAAGGGGGGAGGGCTTTAGGAGCGGCACAGCCCACGTGCAGCATCCCCCCGTTATGAAGTGTTGGCTGAAATGAGGGGGCTGCAGCCCTGGGCAGGAGGGTGTGGGTGATTACAAAGGTATGTGAGATTGTAGGATTGGTAGGACAAGGGGGAATGGCTTTAAACTGAAGGAGAGTAGGCTTAGATGGGATACTGGGAAGAAATCCTTCTCTGTGAGGGTGGGAGGCCCTGGCACAGGCTGCCCAGAGAAGCTGTGGCTGCCCCATGTCTGGGAGTGCCCAAGGCCAGGTTGGAGCAACCTGGGCTAGTGGAAGGTGTCCCTGCCCATGGCAGGGGTTGGAATGGTCTTTAAGGTCCCTTCCAACCCAAACGATTCTGTGATTCTGTGAGTAATGCAATGTGTGTGGTTATAAAGCTCTACCACAGAATAAAGCTCCTCCTCTGCTTCCATTCACCCTGAAGATGTTGAACCTTCTGGAATTTTAAATTTACCATTTGACCATGCAGATTTGCAGGAAGGGGAAATGGCAGAGACTTTGGAGCACATCATCCTCTACAGCCTGAAAGGAACCCAGTGATCTGTGGGGCTTCATTCCACCTCTGGCAATGAATCACCAGCCTCCCTCCAACACCCTGAACTTTGTTCCCCCCTCAGGTCCCACCTGGGTGTCGCCACCTTCACCCCTCACCTTTCCACCTGCGGCTCACCTTGCACTCAGTGAAGCCGATGCTTCCCCAGCTCTACCCCAAGAGGTGTTTTGCCCCTGCAGTGACGGTGCCAGGGACCTGCCCCCACCCTCCCAACATCTCCCCCTTCCCCTGCCCCCTCACCCCTGCGGATGGCAGCCAGCAGGTCGCTCCGGGCGTCGCTCATGGGCATCAGTGGGATCTGCGGCTTGCGGGGCTCCACGGCGGGGGCGGGCGGCGAGGCCGAGTGCGCCGGTGAGGCCGAGACTGCCGGGGGCCCGGGGGCGGCGGGGGGAGCCACAGGGGGCCCATGGGGCCGGCCTGAGGTGGGGACGCGGAGTAGGGGCCGGGGGCGCGGGGCGGAGAGGGAGCGTAGGAGGGGGGCCCGGCCGAGCCGGGGGCCAGCACGGGGGGGCCGAGATGGGGCTGTCGAAGGCCGTCTGTGCCGAGGGGATGACGGGCGGTGGGGGTGGCGGGGCTGGCGGCACAAAGTACTCGGCCATGGGCACTGGCTGAGGGCTGCAACAGAGGGCAGTGTCAGTGGTAGGGGAGGGGTGGCACCCAGCCATCCTTCACCCATCCCAGCACCCTTCACCCATCATCCTTCACCCATCCCAGCACCCTTCACCCATCCCAGCACCCATCACCCATCCCATGACCCGCCACCTATCATCCTTCACCCATCCCATGACCCACCACCTATCATCCTTCACCCATCCCAACACCCATCATCCATCATCCTTCGCCCATCCCAGCACCCATCATCCTTCACCCATCCCAGCACCCTTCACCCATCCCAGCACCCATCACCCACCCCGGCACCCAACAGGCTCCACTCTGGCTTGGTTCACTCTGAACCCCCATGTAAGGTCTGGCCCCCCAGGGCCAGAGAGAGGTGGGAGGACTCTGCCAGCAGGAAGGACTATGGGGCATGGGGAGGTAGGAAGGTGGCCAACAGCCCAGGGGAACCCCCCAGCCCTGTTTTTCCCTGAGATGAGGTTACCCCAAAAGCACTCCTGACTGATTTGGATCTCACTTTCAGACCACGACATCTGCATAGGAGAGCTCTCCTCTCTACCTCAGTGCAGAAAACGGGGGGTCAGGCCCCCACCAAGGCTCCCTTGCCCTGGGCACCCTTGCACCCCGACAGAGGGCCGGAGCCCTACCCGTACTCCTTGACGAGGTGGGGTCTGGGCCCGTTGAGCACGGCCTCGGGTGGTGGTGGTGCGTGTGGCTGCTGCAGGCGGCTGAGGCTGTTCTGGCGGCTGCCTGGGGCCGGGCGGTACACGTGCTCCTGGGGGTTGGGGGGGGCCAGCACGCCCTCCTTGTGCTCTGCCGGGGCCAGGTGGGCCGCCGGGGCCAGCAGCTGTGCGGGGTGGTTGGGGCTCGCCGGGTACGAGTGGTCGGCCGCGTCTGACGCGTAGGATCTGCAGCAGAGAAACCCCACTGTTATACTCGTGGCAAGGGGGGGTCATGGGGGGGATGGGACGGGAGTGTTTTGGGGTTGAGCCAACGAAACAAAAAACAGCCACAAAAATAGAGATGTACAGGACAGCAGAGAGGCAGCAGAGGGGAGGAGGACCCCGACACAGCTGAACCACTCTCTGCCCGTAGCTGCTAAATGGAAAGTGCTCCGATTTTACCCCGATGCCAAGGTTGCTCCTGAGGTCCAGGATGACACCCTGGCGGCACCAGCTACCACGAAGCTACCATGGGTTTACAGCTTATCACCCCAACCCTGGTGCGGGAACACGAACCCCCACAGACGGAGCAGAGCAAAGCGAAGCAGAGCTGGTGAGCCAAACATGCAGTAGGTAGAACCTGCCTATTATCTGGGGACAGTGATCCTTCCGATGACGCCATGTGATAGGGGGATGGTGAGAACCTGTTATCGGGCCGGAACTCTTTATCATACGCCATCATGTTCCACTCCAGCCGCCGGTTCCGGGCTTTCCTCACTTTCTTCACCTCCCGGGTGGAGTCCTCCACCAGCCGCTGCTCCTGGGGGCACACAGAGCCACAGCTCCACCTCCAGCACCGCTCCTCTGGACCAGGAGCAGTGCCCAGGGAGCATCCCCCAGCCCCAGGAGATGCACCAGATTGCACAGGAAGGTGATTGTTCCCAGGTCCCAGGCAACCCCAGCTCCAGCCCTCCAGCACCCGCCACCTGCCCCTTACCTTCTGTCTGCGCTTCTCCTTTCTCTTATCTTCTGTTGCTTGCAACATTTTCTCCTTCCACAAGTTGAAGAAGTAGGAGGGGTCGGTGTAGAATTTGAGGCCATCCTTTTTGTCATCCCTGAGCATTGGGAAGGGAGAAGTTATCAGCCACCATCTCCATCAGGAGAAGACACCCATTCCCCTGCACATGGGCTTTGGTACAGCCACGACCATAAGCTGTTGCCCCACCAGGAACATGTCCAACACAGAGGTCACTACCTGTAGTACCACTGGGGGGTCACCCATCCCAGCCGCCCTCACAGCGGGGGTGGTGGCACAGCAGCTGCAGAAATCGGCCTCTCAGGCCTCATCAAGCAGCAAATGGGGTGCACACCTGATGCCTCTCTTGGAAAGGGTTCCCAAGAACCTCCTGGGACCCCCCTGTTCCCCCCAGAGGCGATGTGCCTGTACCTGTAGGGCGTGAGGATGTTGAGGGGCGGGGGTTTGTCGCAGCGCTGGTACATCTCCATCACAGGGTTGGGGATGGAGTTGCGAGACACAACCTGCTGGTTCTGCACCGTGGAGCTCTTGAAGGCTTTCCTCATGTTGATGTCCTGCAGCGAAACTGTGGGCACAGCAAGGAGAAGGGATGCAGGGGTGGCCTCAGCCCCCCCGAACAAGGTGTGGCGGGTGGTGCAGCCATGAGAACATGCCCTGGCTGTCACCCCAAAACAGCCCCAGGCCCTCACCTTCCTCCACGGTGGAGTCCAACTGTGTCACCTTGATGACCAGCAGGTCCACCCTCTCCTGCAGCGAGTTCATCCTCATGTAGAAGCTGTTGGCCTCGTTGAACAGCTCCCCGAAGATGTCCTCGGCGTGCCTGCCTGGCAGGGGACACCGTGCCCATCACCAGCCCATCCCCTGCACACACACCTCCCCCCTGGCTCCATGCTCTTCACAGCCCTGTTTTTTTGGGAGTCTGAGCCTCACCCTCTCCCAAAGCCCTGCAGAGAGGGAGGAGAGCACAAACACCACCCCCACAAACACCCTCAAGCATCCTTTCCAGTGAGTGGTACCCACGGGGGCACAGAACATTCACGGTGCCCCAAAAAGCCTTTGGATGCACCAGGACACATGAGCCAAAAGAATGACCATCACACAGCATGGGCTGTGGAAAGCCAGCCCTGAAGGTGGCAACCAGGAGCAGGGCAGAGGGGAGAGTTCTACAGCAGGGAGAAGCTGTGACTTGTTTAACTTCGTAATAACTTCATATTAACTTTATAATAACTTTAGCAGTTATTTTCCTGCAGCGCTCCATGCATTGCTACAGCAGCTCTTTATTAGGGCTGTTCCTACCTGTGGGGCTGAGCAAGGAGTCTGGAAGAGCATTGCTGACACCTGTAGGCTACAGCATCCATCCCATCCCATCCTATCCCACACCCCAGCCCAGTCCCTATCCCATCCCAGCACCCATCCCATCCCAGCAGCCATTCCAGCCCAACACCCCAGATCCTCAGGATTTCCTCCAAACCCACATATCAAACAGCACCCAAAATCAAGGTACCTTTGATACCTTCTCAGATCATTCACCCAACTCAGTCATTTGTATTTGATTTCATTTTCCTCTGGACAAGTTACCCATGACCTGAGCACCCATGTCACTTCCAGCAGGTCCATAAATACAGGGTTTATTTTTCTGGGAGTATTTTAGAGAAAAATCTGGTTCTGGAGTGGGAGAGAAGAGGGGGAGCCCTGAAGAACCTGGGCTTCTCTCTGTATTTTAATTGGATATTCAGCAATGAAATAGGTTGTCCCTATTAAAGCTTCACACTGGTGTGCAGTGCTCTTGTCCACCCCTTTTCTGCTGAGATCAGTCTCAGGGAAGGGAGGCAGCTGAGGATTTAGACCTTTTATATAGACCTCTCTTCCTCATAAAGCTCTCACACTAAAAAGCATAGGCTGGAGTATTTCAGATCTTCCCCTGACCTTCCTATTCCTGGCCAATTGGAGAAGCAAGAGGCTCATGAAGGCTTTCTGTCCCCCACTGCACAGACAAGCTGTGGGACAAAAATAGACCTTAAAATGTCTTAAAAATCCCCAGTTTTGGGCTTGGCCCTGAGCATCCTCCTCCTTTGAATTAGCTGGATAATTCCCACTGAATGAGCAGGGGCTGCAGCTCCCATGGCTCTCACATAGCCCCCGTTTCTCTGTGTTTGGAACCAGAGGAAGCGACTGCAGCATCCAATCATCAACCCACCACCCCACCAGCGTCCCACGCTGGGGGATTGCCATGCCACGACTTACTGAGGCTGCCCAGCTGCTTGATGATGGCAGCCAGGGTGCTGTTGGTGACACACTCCAGCTCACTGGTCACCCCATCGGGCAGAGCCCCCCGGCACAGGTGCCGGGGCTCGATGTTCCTCTTCACCAGCGGCATCCTGCCCGGGAGCCCTCACACCTCTGCTGGCAAAAAGAGAAAGAGAGGAAACAAAGAAAATGCATTTTACCATTTGCCTTCTTGTCCTCCCATTCCCTCTGCTTTCTGGCCAGGACACTCCTCCTGCCCACACTGGGTGGCAGCGGGGCTTTCCCAAGCAGGGGCTGCTCCGTGGGTGCAAACCTTGGGGTGCTGGCCAGCACATGGATGCCAGGATGGAGGTGAGGACCACACCAGGGTCCTGCCCCTGCCCTTGTGCTCTCCTGCCAAGCACTGCATCCTTTCCCCCTCACCTCCAGAGCCGTGCTCAAACCAGGAGCAAACCCCCATGTGCTGCTTCCCTTCTGCTGGCCCCGAAAAGCCTCATCCAGCCCAAAGAGAAGCGAGGAAGCGCTTGTAATGCCATTATTTCCAGCTCACTGCCGGCTCTCCAGGGTTTTGTTTGTGCACACATTGCACTGAGTCAAGCTGCCGGGCCCAGCTCATCCCAGCTCCGTGCATGGCCCCCCCAGCTTCCCTGCATGCCCCCCCAGCATTTCTAGGTGCTCTCATAGCATCTCTGGGTGCCCCTCCAAGCATGTCTGAGTGCCCCTGGCTCTGCTGCCATTCAACCTGAACTGGGCATGGTTCATTTTCTCTGGGGCTCAGGGAGATGTAGGGAGATGCCCTCACCCAAAAGCCTCATCTCCAGCGAGAACACCCATGGGAGCTGGCGAGGAAGGGTGAAGGGTGGGCAGCACGGGGTGGGGGGATGCTGAGGGCAGGTCATCCCCCTGATGTAAGCGGGGAGTGGTGGGAAACAGGTTGGGAAAAGAGGCAAAAAAAGGAGCATTTATTAACCAAGGTGATGCCTCCTGGGGTGCTGCAGCCTGGGACTGGGACAAGGACAGCCAGGACTCAGCTCCACTCCCAACGTGAAGGCGAACTGATGGCCGGACTGATAAGGAGCAGAGAGCACAAGCAGCATCCCCAGCTCCCGAGTGCTGCGAGCGGAATCCCCCCGTTTCACACGCCGGGCACCCCCACCCACCCCGTCTTTACAGAACTCCGGCAGCGAAGGAAAAGCAGCTTCCGCTGATGGCCGGGAGCGGAGCCGCCGGGAGCCGGCACGGGAGCCAGCACTGCTGCCCGCGAACAGAGCCAGCAATCTGCAGAGTTCACATTTTTTGGCCCCGGCAGCGTTCGACAGAACAGTTTCCCATTGATAGCACCCGGCCAGTGCTCCCGTCCCCCCGCCAGCACCACCGGCTCCTCCGCAGTTTTCAAATGCAAATTCAAGCTCCCTCCACGAACGAGTCCAAAACTTGTTCCTCAGTCATTCATATGGAGCTTCCCAAAGGGCTGATTGTGCTCCCAGGTCGGTATGGACAGGGTTGGGCTCTGCTCTGCCCCAGGCCAGTCGGGGCACCGTGGGAAGGAACCCAGCCCTGACCCCGAGCGACGCTTTGGGCTCAGAGCAAACAAACCGCGTGTCCTCCGGCGCTTCCCAAACTCACTGCACATGGATGTGGGGCTGGTACCGTCCCTGGCGCCCATAAAACCAAGAGGTTTCTGCCAGCAGAAAAGAGTTTGCAGAGGAGACTCTGGATGTCTCCTGATGGATGTCTGCTCGGGCCATGAACATCCCGTGGGCACCCCCTGGGTTCCCCCCTGGCTGCATAAAGAGCTGAGCAACGCTGGCAGCTTCACCTCAAGCCCGCTTTGAGCCGGTGTAATGTGTCACCCCAAAATCCGCCCTCGGAGGCTGAGCCCCGGCACGTCCCGCGGGGTTCCCCCCGAGCGGCGGCCGCAGGGACCGGAGGGCACAGGGAGAGCTGTTAACGAGCTGCTCGAGCCCAGCAATTAGAAACAGGGAACAAAGAGCCATTCTCGCACCCGCCTGGGACACGGCCACTGGAAACAGCCACCGGCACCGGCTTTTTGTCCCTCCCAGGGAATCCGGGGGGAATTGGGGCCACCCGCTCCTCCAGCCCCCGCGGGGACCCCAGAGAGGAATGAATTAAAAAAAAAAAAGTTTGTGGTTTGAAAGTTCCCCGCAGGGACAGACTTGCAGAGAGGCAGAGGGTGGGTAAGGGGCCTGACAGCAGCACTTGGGAATGTGCCATGGGAGAGCATCCCCAGACAGGAAAAATCCCTTTAATCTCACCCCTAAAAAGCCCAAACTCAGAGCCTGCAGCAGGAGGAACCAAGGAGGAACTGGGTACGCATTTTTAGGCTTGGATAGCCTGGGAAGGCAATTTTGCCTGAGCTGCTTCTTAACCCTGCCCAGTTAGTGGCAGGTAACAGGAACACAGGGACAGAACCCCCTGCCAACCCCTCCCATGGCAATTGTTCTCTCAGCCTGCTGCACCAGCAGCACCAAACCTCTGACTTCTGGCTTGAAACCCAACTTCTGACCTAAAACCTGTGCCCTCAAGGCCTGTCCCAACTCAGGGGTCCACAATTTTCTGGGTGGTGATGAGCTACACACAACCCCACAGACATCAACTTGATTTCTATCCCTCCTGGCACATCTTGCTCACACTTCCCAAGCAGATGCACACAAATCCTGAGAGCTGGTGGCCTGGTCAGAGCTCCAGCAAAGGGGTTCCTGCTTTTGCTGATACTTCTGGTAATTTCCAAGCCTTTCAGGGGGTGATTAAGGGTGGTAGGTCCTCAAACCTTCAGGAGAGGGGTCCCAGGGGCAGGGATCTCCTGGGAGCTGGGGTGGCTCCCTGGTGCAAGAGGGAGAAGTCCAAACACTGCCAGTCAGGCCTAGAGCTATTAAAGACTTCTTCCATACATAGGAGCACCCCAGCCCCCAGCTCAGTGCTCAGCACCATGGGCCAACAATCAGGTACTGGTACCCCCAGGACAGCCCAGTTGGGCACTGCCCCAGTAAAGCCCCATCTGCAAGGGGGAAGCTGCAGGGCCAAACAGACACATTGCCATGGGCACTACTAGCCCCTGATGGCCTTGATCAGCCTCATCTGGGACCCCCCGGCCCCACCCATGGCCCAGGAGGTTTTTCAAACTCAGCTGGGGGTGCCAGACCTGCTCTGAAGGAATTGCTGGTCCCGCTCCTGCCCTGGGTGGGTGCTGGCACTGGGGAAACTCCTGGGTTTGGCACAATCTTCAGGGTGGACACTGGACCTTCATTCTGGGTGCCCCTGGGCCTGCCAGCAGACTCTGCTCTGCCTGCTGTTTGCTGGCTCTAGGGGTTGCTGGGGAGCTCCTGCTCTGGGGTCACCCTGAGCTCCCACTCCCCTTCCCCCCGTGGCCCCCGGCCCTGCTGTGCCCCAGCAAGGGCAGAGGCAGCGAGGCTGGGGTGGCACCTCCCTCACAGCACTGTGGTGACCTTGTCCTGGAGCTGGGAGAGCACAGCCAGAGTGACAGCAGTGCTGATGAGGGGACACAATCGATGCAGGGATGTTTAACCTCGGTGTCCATGCTCAGGCTGGATGGCAGGAAGGGTTTTCCACCTTGTCAGGCTGCTCCAGGTCTGGTGCAGGTGTCTGACCCTGACAGGCAGCACTGGGCTGGGCTTTGCTGCAAAATGCCACCTCTAGCACAGAGGGTGTGACACCACTGGGATGGATGGCTGTAGGTGGGATGGGCTCTTTCCCTCCTGCCCTGCTCCTGCTTTCCTTTCCCACTGTGACTCAGGGAATGTGCCAGCCCTGGAGGGTTTGGGTTTCCCCTCTAGCTGAGGGTGCATCAGGAGATGCAGCTGATGGCTCCAAGGCCACAGGGAGACCCCAGCCATGGGTGGCAGCACTCCCTGCCCAGCTCAGCATGACCCCTCTGATCCCACCTTTCAGCTGCCTTGGGATAATGGTGTAAGCCCCCAGCTCGGGTTTAGGTGGTCACATTGGCTTTTCCAAACCCTCAGTAAGGTTTGCTTCTCCTGTTTATTCCTCATGGGATGGTCCCTGTTTCCTCAGGTGCTGGCTGCTCTATTGGGTGTGGGAGCCAAAGGTACAACCTCAACCAGCCAAACCCTCCTGGGATGGTGCTGTAGGGTGAGCATCTCCTCCTCTGGGTCTAGGAACATCAGCCAGGCCCTGGCATCACTGACATGGACTAAAATCCATGAGGTTTTGCTCTGGCTCCTGACTGGAAATGAGGAGCTCTCAGTGGGAGGTGGTGTCAGGCTGCAGGAGAAGGAAAATAGGAGCCACAAAATCAGCAGGAATTTCCTGGAGGTGGAAGGCAGGAGGAGTGGGACCACCCAGGGGCTTCCTGTGAGCTCCTGTCATGGTACAGACACACTGTGGGGATTCTCCCATCACTCAGCTCCTCTCCCCAGCAGTGGAAAGAGTCAATTACTAAATCTTGTGCTGGGAAATGTGAAAGGAGGTTCACCAGCTTCCCACCCACTTTCCAAACCAGCAGAGGAACTTGGAAGGGAACCACATCCAGCTCACTGTGCCCAAGCACAGATCAGCTGAGGTGCCCAGGCAGGGGAGGGGATGAGACCAGAAATGAGCTTTATCTTCTGCCCTAAGAAGCTGGTTTCTCCCAAGGAACAATCAGCCAACTGCCCACAGCATCCCCAATGCAGAGCTGCTGGTGCTACTGAGCAGCAGCCCCTGCTTTCCCAGACCAAGGAGTTCTGGGGAATAAGGGCTGCCCTGAATCCCAGCTGGCAGCTCCCAGTCCCTGCAGACCAGACTGGGAGTGTGATTTGGACTGGTCCAGAGGGGACTCCTACAGCTGGCTCCTTCCAGATGTTATCCTTCACATCTGGCAGCTTAGATCCTTGGAGTCCATTAGGGGCAGAAAAACAGTTTTCATTTTGCAAGAGGGTCCAGAGAGAAGAGTTTTGTGTCCAGCTGTTGCTCCTTATTTTCTTTGCAACAGCTTTTCATGTCCATAACTGTGTCCTCGCCCCCACTGAGCCCCCAAACCCACCCACGCTCTGGGCAGGGGATTGAGATGGGACTTAAAACTCTGCAGCAGGGTCCAAAGGGGCCTAAAGGTCAAGGAGGGACAAGCTGGTGACAGCAGGTTTCCCAGGTGCTGGGTAATCCCTGTGATGGAT